CTTCGTTACGAGGCAAGCTGGGTGCAGCAAGATCTTTGGGAGCTCCAGTGCGCAGTTCCTCCTTTATTTATTTCACTTCATGTGGTTCCAATTCAACAGCAGCAATTCAATGGGCTCTTAACCTACTGGCATCTTTTTTTGTTGGAATCTGACAGCCCACTGAAAGAAGCATTGCCACTGCCTGGAACAAAAAAATAAATAAATATCACCACTGTTAATATTTTATAAAAAGGTTTGTGTAACTGTCATGTCCTTTCTTGTGCCTCCTTTCCCCAATGTTGCCGACTGCCAGAATATATGTGTGCAAACAGAGCCCGTTTCCTTTCCACTCCGCTGCATCCACTAGTTTAAGGATCAGGTTCTGATACCTTTATAACAAGAAACACATTTGCTGTCCCACAAATAACATGGCAGTAAAGAAAGGGATTGTTTGCATGGTAGGCTACTGCTCAGATGAATAATGACCAGTCAACGAGTTCTTCCAAAGACAATCAGAGCAATCTTATGGAGACTGAGGTGGCAGTTGAGAGTCAATGCCAGAGGAGCTGCCTTTTCCAAAGTCCTGCTGGGCTTGCATTGACCAGGGCAGGTGGGTGGGTGTCATTTTACCCATTTTGCTTGGTTTGACTTTTCCCCTCACCAGTTACTCCTTTTGCAATGCCTCCCTTTCCATTGGAACCAATGGGATGGAAAATAACTACCGTATTGGCCCGAATATAAGCCCCCCAAAAATTCCGACTGTGAAAAGTTAAAGTGTGGCTTATATTTATGACCTTACAAAAATTGGCTTTTTGATCGGCTGTGAGGCAGAGCTTGCGGGGAGCCGTTCAGCTGGTCTGCTGCAGTGGTGGTGTTGGATCTGGCAGAGCATGGCCGCAGCGCTTGGGACCACGAGGGCTCCGGGTGAGCCACAGAAGCCTATCAGCTGTGAGGTGGCGTTGCTCCAAGCTGAGCAGCAGCAGCTGCCCAGGCAAGGTTTCTCCTACGCGCTGCAATCTCCGATCAGCTGTGAGGCGGTTCCTTTACAGCTGGAGCGTCTTCCAGTTACTGTATTCAGCAGTGGACGACCACTTGGGCTTCAGTGGTGAGAGTGTGCTTGTTTGGGACGGGTGCTTTTGATTCCCCCCCCCTCCCTGGGCAAGCCCCTTGTGTGTGTTCCTCATTGTGTGGTTGTGCTTCATTGGGTGGGTGCCTTTCAGAATTCCTCCCCTCCAATTTTAAGGGAGCGGCTTATATTCAGGTATTCTCTCTCTCTCTCCCCTCCAATTTTAAAGGTGCAGCTTATATTTGGGTGTGGCTTATATTCAAGCCAATGAGGTATCCCAGTAGTTTTGTCCCTGTTCTGGAGATGAGTTTGGGAAATCCAAAGCATTCTCCAGTACATCCCCAGCACACACACCATAAGAACATCAGAAAAGCCCTGTTGGATCAGGCCAAAGATCCAACATCTTGTTCTAAAGGTGTCAACCAGAGGCTTCTGGGAAATCCACACGCAGGACCTCTTTGTCATCCCCTTTTTGATTTCACATCAAGGGCAGACCAGCAGCAGTGACAGAGCTTTCCAACAAGGAAGCAGGAAGCCCCAACCTTGGAGCTCCTCTTCCCATTGTGGTCCTCCTTCTCCCAAATTATTCCTTTGGGAAGAATAAGAATAAGATTCCCAGTATCCAATGCCCTTCTAGTCATCCATCTCCTGGGAACTGCTTAGGTTTACTCCCTTAGTAATGTTATTTCTGAAAACATCTTTTACTATAAATACCCAAACGCAAAAGAAAACACACAGAAAGAGAAATATATATAGATAGATAGATAGATAGATAGATAGATGATAGATATAGATATAGATATAGATATAGATATAGATATTCAAAGGTAATTATAACATTGAAAAGGCTGCAAATACATGACTGCAAATTATTTCAAAAACTATTGTTCCAAAGAATAACAAACACAATTCTGAACAAGCTTATCTGTGTGATTCCTACAGCAGTTTCATGAAAAGTAGCTCAATTTGGTATAACAAAGCTTTCCCCCCATTTGGTTTTTTTTATACCATTCTGAAATAGGGGACACTTTTGATTTCTTCCTGTAAAAAAGCAATATGGCTTCAATCTGAACAAACAAAGCTATAGAGAGACACAGAGATTTAGTGGGAATGCCATGAGCAGGTCCATCGTGCCAGGAGACCAGAGAAAAGTGAGATAGGCACAAGGGCCAATGCATTCCTTTAAATTGTTTTCATGCTCCTTTCTGCATACCATTGTTTGCAAGAAAGAAGAGTGTGAGAGGTATGTTTAGCATGGCTGTCATTAGCCTCTGGTTCTGGAAAAACAGGGAGCTTGTTTGTGTCTTTAAATTGTGGTGTACAAGGAGCATAAGCAATCCCCTTCCCGCATAGCACATATAATGAGTCATTAAGAAACTAGTTGTGCATTACACTTGGCTGATAGGGCAGGGTAACTGCAAGACGAAAGCTTTTCTCTGTGCCTGGCAAAGGCCATTTAAAAAGAAACAGAAGCAAAATGAACGTGAAGGGGAAGCCACAACGAACGCAGTGTCGACTAAGCGCTTGCAAGTTTCTGATGCTTCCCTGCCGCTTTTGTTCCCTTGAACTCTATGATGAGGATGCTCTGCATGCCATTCTGACTTAACTCAGCCACAGAATCCTATTAAGGAGAGGGGGGACTTCTTCCAAGCAACTGCAGCTCAGAAATGGAGTTTCTTTCGCCCACACAGAAATGATAGGCATCCCCTACTGTTGGAACAATTTGATGCACGGAACTGGATGACTCTGAAAAATGTTGCAAAAAGTGGGCACCCACATCCTTTTAACTCGAGGTCACCGTTCCTGAACATAACAACTTCCTCACAAAATCCTCCTTCTATTTCAGACTTCAACTTGTGTTTGTGAAAGAGAGAGAGAGAGAGAGACAGTGAAGGGTGTTGGTGGTTGGTGCTGGTCCAGTTCTTAGTTCCTCAGTTATTTGTGTCAGAAGGCACAATTCAGCAGCCTTTGGGAGGGTAGGATCAATAGCAGAATGGACTTTCTAGCCTTCCTTCAGGATCCCTTAAACAGAATTGCTGTGAGTGGCTTATTGCGGATACTAATTTTGCACACCTTGAAGCAGCTGGGTGCATAAAAACTGACTCCTTTTGGAATAAAACAGACCCATAAGTATTGCTCAAAACTTGAGAAGCTTAAAAAAGATTGGGAATCGTTTATTGTTTATGTGCAAAAATACTGTAAACAAGTTGATACGTTGGCAGGATTTTAAGTAAACACTTGCAACTAGTAGAAAATTAGATAAAATTAAGGGAAATAATAATTGGAAAAGTATAAGCATGGAAATGCAGGAGAAGTTTGTTTATACAGTGGTACCTTGGGTTACAGACGCTTCAGGTTACAGACTCCCCTAACCCAGAAATAATACCTCGGGTTAAAAACTTTGCTTCAGAATGAGAACAGAAATCGTGCTCCGGCGGTGCGGCAGTAGCAGGAGGCCCCATTAGCTAAAGTGGTGCTTCAGGTTAAGAACAGTTTCAGGTTAAGAACGGACCTCCGGAACGAATTAAGTTCTTAACCCGAGGTACCACTGTATAAGGAACCGAAAAAGGGTAAGGAGGGAAGCCTAGAGGTTCAAAGAATCTCAAAGAGAAGGTTTGTGAAAATGTATCTGTATAAATCTAGATCTGATAGAAATGTGAATTAACTTTGTTTTAAATTGTGAAAACATAACTATGGAAAATTAATAAAAAATTATTTCCAAAAAACCACAAGCAACAAAACTTTACTTGCAGAATTTTCTTCAAAACAGAACAAAAAAGTGATACATCAAAATAATTCCATACAGTATCTTGTGCATGTCCAGCAGAGACTCAGCCTCTTATAAGAAATTACTTTACTTCTTCCAGAAATCAAAACTTTCTCTCCCATTCCAGCCTGCATTTGCTACATCCTGCCTAATGCTATGCAACTCCTGGACAGCCATGATCACATCCTTTGTGATAGAAAAACAAACAGGCTACTCCCTTCAAGATGGTGATTTGCAATTGAATACCTTAATCGTGTGCTCTAAGGTTAAACACTCATGGGTTAGAGCAGAGAACAGTCTCAGTTAATCATTAACTCAGCTAGAGTTCAGTATCCTGCTATGGAAAAAACAAACAATACACAGGCATTCTACATTTCAGTGTCAATTAAACAATTATACTTAACATGGGTGTGAGACTCAGGGCCAGCTCTATCTGTCACTGGGCAGAGGGAGACAGCTGTCTTTGGGCAGCAGATGCTGGTTGGTGGTGGGAAGTAGCTGCAGCCCCTATACCCATTCCCCCTGAGTCACTCTCCTCTGTCAGAGAGCAGTGTGTGCCCAGTGTGCTCCCTACCAGGGCTGGCACATGATGTTATGCTGCTTGAGGCAAAACAGAAAAGGCTCCTCACTCTACTGTTGCTGCCCCTCATCTGCCTGAGGTGACTTGAGGCAGCCTGGGGGTACTTTGGCATGCTGAAGGTGGAGGGAGAGAGAAAAGGAGGCTGAAAAGGAACAGGTCGTGTTCAGGGATGTTTGTCGCAGAGGCAGTGGGCAAGTGCAGGAGGGGGTAGATATGCTGCCTCTCCCAGCTGTCCCCAGCCTGCTGCCTGCCCTTCCCCCTAACCTAGCCTATAGCCCCATAGTAAAGTGGCAGACACTGTCCCATCCCTGGTGCTGAAGGCGCCATCTTGCCCTTTCCCTCAGTCACCAAAATGTCTTGGGCTGACCACAGTCTGAAAATACTGCCCAGTAGTTTTCCATGTAGTAGATAAACAGAGGAATAAAGCCTCATACACTTTAAATCTAGCAGGTTTCTCTGGCACTAAATTTCCTTACAGAAGGAAGCAAATGACTTAACTAATCTTTGGTAACTCGGCTTATCTCCACGCCCCCAAACAGCAGGCGGTAGACACAAGCCCAATTGTTTTATTTATTTAAGTGTATTGATTTTTAGCCTAGATTGGAAGGAAGCAAGCGGATCAACAGTACAAAATTCCCCCAGCTGTGAGAACCACATGGGCTACTCGGAATCAGATTTAAGCTAACAGATGAAAATACATTTGCCAAAATAAGGTAATGAAACATTCAGTATTAGCACAGAGATCAGGCTGAGGGCCAAGGCCTGCCTCTTTTGTGAAAGGAATGATTTGGGGGAATCACTGCCCTTTGAATTATTGTTAATGTAGCTGTAGTCAGGCTTAAGTGTCCCCTAGTTGTATTTACTGTCTGCAGCACAAACACATAGATAAGACATGGAATGAAATGCTGGCTTTACTGGAGGAAATGGGACTTTTGCCAAGGATACAGAGGAGCCAAGATCTCACCCATAGTTCTTAGTCACCCAGATCTAGAAATCTATCTAATTTAAAGAAAGGCAAGAAAAGGCACAGATAACTGCCCAGGCTTTTCATATGTATAATTTGATGTTGCCAAATAACCTCACATCTTTGACTAGAGCTAGGGACTGCTCATGGTCTCCTGGAGGCAAATCATTCCTTGTAGGCCTGCATTGTAGAGGGTTAGACTAGATGGCACTTGGGGTCCCTCCCAACGCTACAATTCTAAGATTCTATAGGTCACCTCTTAGGTCTGAGTGAGCCCAGGCTTAGTTTTGAGTTCACATGACTGGGTTCATAATTCTTAAATATCAATCACACTGCTTATTTACTTATTATTTCTTTCCTGGCCTTCCACCAAGGCGCTCAGCAGAACATGTTTGTTTCGCATCAGCTCTGTGAGGCAAATTAGGCTGAGAGATAGAGACTTTCTCAAGTCCAGCCCATGAGCCTAATAGGCAAGTGCAGATTTGAATCTGCATCTTCCATATCCAATACTAATCAAATTCAAACTTTTGGGTAAACCTCAGGCTGATGCATTCCCCACTTCCTTCATTTGGCCATGAGGAACAATTTGGAAGCATTTGCTTCTATTTTCCATTAACCACGGTTTAGTGTTGCCCTAATCCTAAACTGTGGTTAATGTTAACTGTGATATTGTGATTAAGGTGGGGGGGAATATCAAATGTTTTTAATTGTTTTTAATTGTTTTAATTTTGACTGCATTGTTTTATTAATGATACATTTGCCACCCTGGGCTCCTTTGGGAAGAAGGGCAAGGGATCCATTTTAAGTCAATAAATGCATAAATGAATGCAAGTGAATGGTTTGGAACCCCTTCTTATTGTCATGCAAGAGGAGAAACTGCTGCTTTAGACTTTATACTATTGGTCCTTGGGCTGCTCTGAAGGATTTCAGGTGGGGTTTCTCCCAGCTTGACCTGGAAATGCCACAGATTTTTAATTGTTTGATGGTTTAATCTTTAAAAAATACACTGCAGAATAACGTTCCCCCCAAAATGGATTGGCCCTAGTAACAAATAGCGAGCCTCTGTGTCCTGCTTTACACAGTCCTCTGTTTGCAGGGATATCCAGTCCTCACCCAGTTTAAAGATAAAGAAGCATAGGGAGGCAGAACAAGAGACTTGAAGTTGCCTTTCAATAGTTAACTCCTGAACACCAATGTGAGCAGGCACACAGGTGACCTGGTTGTAGTCCTCCCCATTATGAACAGTTTCTAAATTTCTATTTAAATTGCAGTATTTCCCTCCTATATTTGCATATATACATATCAATGAGTATGTGCAAAATTTATGCATTTTAATAGGAGGAGGGGTGCATTTTCTCTTTTTGGCTACCCTACTGCTGACAATCCACTGGAGAAAGGGGAGCTAAAATCCCAGCAGACAAGTCAGGGGACGCTATCTGAAGATGAGTGCATGGAAAGGAGAAAAGCACAATAAAAGCTGAAGGCTCTGAATAATATACGCATTTGCAGCACAAAATGTTGGAAAGAATGAGTGTGCTTGTTGATACAGAGGTGGAGGATCACTAGTTTACGAGAGAGAGAGAGAGAGAGAGAGAGAGAGAGAGAGAGAGAGGAAATTCTACCAGGCAAGGTCAGGCAGATCATTATCAGCTCCAACTCTCCCATAAGCATTCTTTACCTGAAACTCATTTAAAAGGGTGAGGCTTGTTCCTGAATATGGAAACAAAGAAATAACCTCTAGCTTGATCTTTGCAAATGAGTACCCCAGGGACCAACAATAAGCCTGGGGGCAAACATGCAAGCAAACACACTCTGGGAAGGCGAGATCAGATTTGCAAAGCCATCTGATTGCTTCACATGCAATACTATACCCACAGTTTACTGGGAATAAGGCCCATTCAACTAAGCAGGACTCCAGTACTGTGTTTATAGAATTGCACAACCAGGGACCAAAATGAAAGACCGGGTCAGGATGTGGGAGAAAGAGAATCATTGCTAATAGGTGGGATTCTGTGTCACAGGGAAGGGGTACCCAAAGGGAGAGGCATAGACTCACCCTCCAACATCCTGCTGATCAAAATTGGAGCACTCAGGGGTTTTGGTCCCAAGCTCTTGTGGGAGCCAGTTGATTCGCAGGAGAGTGCAGGAACTAAAGCTGCTCATTTTTTGGACTCATACAAGAGTGCTGGACCAAAAAAATGAGCATCTTTTGGTCCAGTGCTCTCACGCAAGCTAGCTGACTCATGCCAGAGTGCAGTACCAAAATATGGGACATTCTGGGATCCAATCAGAAGCTGGGGTGGCTTCTGTAATTCCAGGATGTCCCAACTCAAATCAGGATGGTTGAGGAGTATGTAGACCTCGGTGGGGCAGAGAACTTTTCCATCTGGTCCAGGGTGCTCATCACCAGCAGGCTGATGTTGCATGCCCAGGAGGGCTACTGAACTGATTGCCTTCTGGACTACCCATAAAGGTAAAGGTAAAGGGACCATTGACCGTTAGGTCCAGTCGTGACCGACTCTGGGGTTGCGGCGCTCATCTCGCTTTACTGGCTAAGGGAGCCTGCATACAGCTTCCAGGTCATGTGGCCAGCATGACTAAGCCGCTTCTGACGAACCAGAGCAGCGCACGGAAACACTGTTTACCTTCCTGCCGCAGCAGTACCTATTTAACTACTTGCACTTTGTCATGCTTTCGAACTGCTAGGTTGGCAGGAGCAGGGACCGAGCAACGGGAGCTCACCCCGTTGTGGGGATTCAAACCGCCGACCTTCTGATCGGCAAATCCTAGGCTCTGTGGTTTAACCCACAGTGCCACCCGCATCCTGGACTACCCATAGGACAATGCTAATGTGGAATGTGGAACGCCCTCCCACCAGATGTCAAAGAGAACAACAACTACCAGACTTTTAGACGACATCTGAAGGCAGCCCTATTTAGGGAAGCTTTTATGCATTACTGTATTTTAATATTGTGTTGGAAGCCGCCCAGAGTGGCTGGGGAAACCCAGCCAGATGGGGGGGGGGGATATAAATAATAAATAATAATAATTATTATTATTATTACAAATGAACCTACAGTGTCAAATTTAACAAATGTTTTAAACTTCATGTACCAGATGTCATAACAAAATCCCAAACATGCAATTGTGCTTAACTTTGAAATGTTCGTTTTATGCTTTCTAAGACACCACACGGCAAAAACGGACTGCCTACAGCCTCCCTCCCAGCTGTAGGGCAGGCAGAGTGGGAGGAGGCAAGCATAATACTGTATGGGGGCGTCCTATCCATGGGGGCATCCAATACATGGAAAAATATGGTAAAAACGCTTATTTAGATGTGCTTGTCTCCTCTGGGGCTTGTACCCCTGCCCCTGGCCTGGCCATTCATCTTCTCTGATGCCCACTGCCCACATTAGTGTGCGGTAGTTTCATTCTGAAAAAGGAAAGGAAGCAGAAAAAGAAACAATGACACAATAATTGCTACAATATAGATGGACTGATAGGGTCGTGTTTCTTCAGCTGTCAGTTGCTGGAGGTGCAGTTTTAGTTCTAGGTAGAAGACATCAGATCCCCAATTTAGAGACCTCTTAAATGTGAAAACAAAGGCTAACTGACCACCATAAAATTGGTTTCTGATTCATCCAGCATTTTGCTTATTTTTCTGAGTACCTTTATAAAAGAAGTTTGATTTTAAAATTATGTCTCCTTTTTGTGTCATCCAACAGCCATTTAAGAGGAGAGCTTGATGGATTGCGCAAGGCAACTTTAAATTCAATTACAGACTGTTCTTCTTGGGATGTTCCTGGGCTTCCTCTGCGCAGTACAATGAAGGGCAGCTCTTTGAAGAATTACAGGCGGCAGCTGTTGATGGCTCTCCGTAATAGCCAAACAGTGCTTTATCTGATGGAAAGTCATGTCCCCAAAGCTGGTTGAAATAAAGAGAGATGTACTGGGCCTGATTTGCAAATGTGAAAAACACTGTTTGTTCAATCTTGTGTTGTTCCAGGATGAAAGGCATACACACTGGCTCTTGCATTTGCCTCCCTAGAGTTAAACAAGGGCAACACTTTGCATTGCCTTCCTTTTATCATAGAATAACAAATCTCCACTTGTTCTCATGAAGCACGAGCAGAAGACCAGGAACAGATGCTGTGTGTAGGCTCCCTATTTGGGCTTGCACCAGTTTGCAGGGTGCTCTAACGCCATGACAAAGGGCTTTGCTGCACGCTATAAAGAGAAAAACAACTGAACCAATTCCGGTTAAAAATGAAGTTCAGTGTATACATTCATTTATACAAATCAGATCTAAGGTACGACAGATTGTCTTGCCAATATTGGACCAAACCTATCCTATTCTGCCTTAACTATATGTTGAGTGAAGAACTACAGTGGTACCTCGGGTTACATACGCTTCAGGTTACGGACTCCGCTAACCCAGAAATAGTGCTTCAGGTTAAGAACTTTGCTTCAGGATGAGACCAGTAATCGTGCTCTGGCGGCACGGCGGCAGCAGGAGGCCCCATTAGCTAAAGTGGTGCTTCAGGTTAATAACAGTTTCAGGTTAAGAACGGACCTCCGGAACGAATTAAGTACTTAACCCGAGGTACCACTGTACTTTATTTAATCTTTCCTGAATTTTACTACATTCAGCTTCATTGGAGTTCTAGTATTATGAGAGAGAGAGAGAGAGAGAGAGAGAGAGAGAGAGAGAGAGAGAGAACTTTTCTCTATCCATTTTCTCCAGGCAATGCATAATTTTATAAGTGTCTATCACCTCTTACTCTTCTTTTCTCTAAACTAAACAGTCCCAAATGCTGCAGCCTTTCCTCATAAGGAAGTTGCTACATTTGCTTGATCCTTTTGGTGGCCCTTTTCTGAACTTTCCCCATCTCAACCATCAACTATTCCATTACCGTACTCCCCCTTATTGATTAGCTTTCACACCACACAATCCTAACAAAATCAGATCTAACCAAGTGCCACAGAACAACTTGCAAGCAAGATTTGAGGGAGTTGAATAACAGTGCGTGCCTTTGTTCTGTTAAACCAATTCCTTTCCACCTTATAGTAATCTTATACATGGTCCACCATCGACCCTTCTAACTCAGTATGGTCTATACTGGGGCTGGCAAATCTGTAGCCCTCTAGATATTCTTGGACTCCACATGATGTCAGCTCAAGCTAGCATGGATGGAAGTTATTTTGTTTTTAAGGGTTTGCACATTTCAAGCAGTTCAGGGCCAAATTAGATGTGTGCGCTAAATGCACCATCTTTGCATTAAAAGAGTTTTTCCCCAAAGGCAAATAGCATCAGCGGAAAGGGCTGATAAATATTGGGATTACAGCAGATGGTGGAGGAGAAAGGAGAAATTTAACCTTTTAGTTCTCTGCGGTGGTGCGGAGGAAAGTGCTCAGCATTGCAAGGAAATTCCCCAATGGTGGAACTCCTTAGTTAACAGGAATTATTTCTTGATTAGTGCTTTGTTAAATCAACCCAGCTCTCAACTCATCTTAGTGCAGCCACAATGACCCTGCCTTTACATATGTTAAAAATGCAATGGCAGGATGTCATAGAATTGTAGATTTAGAAGGGACCACAAGGGTCATCTGGTCCAACCCCTGCAATGAAGTAATCTTTTGCTCGATGTGGGGCTCGAACCCCGGACCCTGGGATTAAGAGTCTCATGCTCTACCAACTGAGCTATCTCATTATTTCCTTTCTGCCTTTGTGACACGGCAAGATTGGCTCCCTGCAGAATACCTTCCAGTGTTTTGTCACATCTGTTCTCATTTGACTGAACAGATGCCGCTTTAAGACTCACCTGGAACAGATACGTTGATAAGGAGTATTATGTTTACACAAGGCAGACTTAACTTCCAGTCACTCATAGTCCCAGTTCAGGTGTATTATTGGATCTGGCATGCTGCTGGGTGATTAATACTGCAGAACCCACTCACTCCACAGTCACCTACACCATTTGCAATATTCCCTCGTTCCTCCAAGGACTGTAACCGCTTTTGACAGAGCAAAAGTGGTCACTGAATTTCCATGAATTAAAATTCATCACTGAACTGTAGAGATTTTCTGATTGATATTTCCAGGAACGCTCCTGGGTGCCATGGATGCTCCTTCGTCAACAACAACATCATCCACATCAACATTTTTAATTTGTATACCATCTTTCTATCTTACAATACTCAAGGCGGTTTACAAGCTGAAGAAACAAAAAATGTACCATCTAATGCAATACAAAACTGTGATAATAAAACATAACTTTAAAACAGGCAACCTACATCAAAAAAGTAACATTCAACAATCATCCAACAATCATCCTCTCTGTTGATTATTCTGGACAAATAGCATTAGTGAGCAAAGAACTTGGCAGTAGCATTCTGGGTCATGTGCTAAGTTCTGTTTCCTCTGCAACCAGTGTGCTCCAACCACTGTTTTGTGTGGCCATGTACGCACAACATTAGCCACAATCCACATCCATCCTTTAATTTCTTGAGAGATACTTTGGTCTGATGCATTTCCCCTCGAGACCGCTTTGATCCAATATGAAAACGTTAAGCCAGATGGAGATATCCATGCCCCCTCTCCACCCACTGGTGCGGATGGGTGGTGAGTGACTCGAAAACACATCCAACCTTACAGATGTGTGCAACAACATGCAAATACCAATTGACACGCAGTAGTAAAAAAACAACAACCTCTCTGTGCTTTAGCCTGGTAACGTGCAAAACCACAATTGCTTCAGCTGATAAGGATGACTGTGTACATAGCTAATAAACACTCAGTGGCGTAGCGTGGGTTCTCAGCACCCGGGGCAAGGCAAGTAATTTGCGCCCACTAACCCGTGGAGCCAGGTAGGGGCAGAGAGCTGCGAGTGCGAGCGCGCGCCCCCCCAGATGTTGCGCCCGGTGCGGCTGGCCCCCCCTGCACCCCCCACGCTACGCCACTGTAAACACTGTAATTCAGCAGTCTTGTTAAACAAACACATATGTAAAAATATTTTGTATACGGTTAAAAACTTTGGCAGGATTAGAGTAATGCTTTTAAATGACAAAATATAAGGGAACAGTTAATAATAGATATAACAAATTGGGGGGAAAAGGATAAGTTGAATAAAAAGGGATGGAAAATGGAAACCAAAGAAGGGGGGGGGGTCAAAGGATTATGAGAATCCTAAACGTAAAGGTGATTGATATGTTTAAACTGAAACTTGTTATGTAAACTTAGATATAGATATAGATATAGATATAGATATAGATATAGATATAGATATAGATATAGATATAGATATAGATAGATATATAGATATATATGGATTTTGTATATGGATTTGGAACTGGAAAGGACACAGAACAATTGTCAAGGGTGGAATTATACTGGAACAGCAAGGGTGGCATCCTGTTAAGAGAAACACGTGGATGGTAATAGTAATTGCCATGAACATAACTTTCCCTGCTGGTGGTGATTCACAGAGGAAAAACACCTTCTAAAGCAACATCACTTCCTTCAAGGTTGTGATTTACATTCCTCAGGTGAACTCTCTCACAAATAATGCCGGAAATCAGTATGCATAGGTTTTCACCCACGCTAAAAATTTATATTGTTAATCACAGAATCCAAGCCTTTTCAAAATACACCCATTTGAATTTATATTTTTGGCTCTGCATGTCTATAAATGCGCTATTTAAGGGCAAAGCTAGTTCTGCAAAAGCAGCTGCCTCACAGTGTGAGGTGCTAAGGCCCTCGATAGGTTTCAAAACCAGCCTTTAATATTTTATGCTGCAGTAATATAATATGATCCCTGGACTATGCTGGTGGATGAGACGGAAGACAAAAAATAGAACATGTGGTGCCTGTTCATTGCTACTAGTAATGATGATTTGTATCCAAGGATGGGTAGGCGCGCCATGCCCCCAGAACCCGTGCAACGCCCCTTGGGGGGGCCAGCCACGCCCCCGCCTGCTCTCCGCCCCCGGTAGCGGAGCATGCAGCTTCACCCCTGTTTCTGGAAACTAGAATAGTCCCTGCAAAAACTGAACCTCCCGTAACATGTATTGGTTGATGTTGTTTATCTTCGCACCTGCAGGCTAGATGGAGATGAGAGTGCCTCAGAGCATCTGCAAGCACATTTCCCTCACAAATGAGGAATCTCGTGTCTGGGATTAGGGGACAGCATCTGTTAATTAGTGATATTAGCAGGAGCTGTAAATGCCAGAATTTATATGTCTTTTCAGATTGCTTGCAACTCAGAATATTAGGATTTTTAAAAAACTTCTCTATCGTTGGTCTAAATAGCCAATATCTTTAAACATATGCAAGAAGAAACTGTTTAATTAGTTGCCACAGAAACTCCACTGCAGATGGTGGGATGGGACTGTACGATTCAAAAGCTCCTCTTGAAAATATTCATGAGCAAACCTATACAAGCAATCAATAGCCACTAGCCATGATGGCAGTGTTCTGCCTCCACTATTACAGGGTGTAGGTACGGAGCAGCATATCAGTTGCTGAGAATCACAAGTGGGGAGAATGCTGTTGCGCTCGGTTCATGCTTGAGGACTTCCCATAAGGATCTGGCTGGCCATTGTGAATTAGATGGGCTATTGGCCTGATCCTGTAGGAAGTCAAAGGGGCTTATTCTCAGGAAAGTGTGGCCAGAATTGTAGTCTAAACTGCAAAAAGAAGTGTGTAGTTTTAAGAATGCATGTGATGCTTAATAATTATTAGGGCAATAATTAGGGCAATAATTAGGGCAGATCAAATAGTAAAGCAAAACATGTATTACATAGCCTCCAACATGTTGAGTCCCACAACGGGCACGCACGTCTTCCTGTCCGTGCTCACGTGTGAGTCACATGACCTGTGCAAGATCATAGAGCCCCAAATACATGCTTTTTCAAGACTGTGCTCTCACGGCGTCCAAAAATGGCCCAAAATGGCT